GGTTTCCCATTCACCCTTGAGTTGATAGATAACAAGAGATGAGTCACCGAAAACTGAGTTTGGTCACCCCATGATCTATAGCTGCTTGGAATCCTAAGATGCAGGCTTCATATTCAGCCATGTTATTGGTGCAGTTGAAATTTAGCCAGGCCATTACTGGGATGTACTTCTTTTCAGGGCATATTAAAACTGCTCCTATACCGTGTCCAAGCATGTTCGAGGCTCCATCGAAGAACATAGTCCATGCATCGTCCTCGGGTACTTCGTGTTGGATATGGATATGCATGATGTGTTCGTCTGGAAAATCGTCTTGTAGGGATTGATATTCGTTTGTTGATCCGTGTGCTAGGTAGTCTGCTAGGGGACTACCTTTGATAGCTTTTTGGGTGACATAGACGATGTCAAATTCCGAAAGGAGTACTTGCCACCTAGCTATTCTTCCGGTCAGGACGGGTTTTTCAAACAGGTATTTGATTGGATCCATTTTGGAAACCAACCAAGTTGTATGTCTTATCATATACTGCCTGAGACGTTGAGTTGCCCACACTAATGCACAACATGGTTTTCCAAGTGGTGTATAACGGGTCTCATAGTCTAGGAATTTTTTATTGAGGTAGTATATGGTTTGTTCTTTCTTCCCCGTATCATCCTGTTGACCGAGCACACATCCCATAGATTCATCGAGTATCGATAGATAAAGAATCAAAGGTTTTCCTTCAACGGGGGCACTAGTACTGGTGGATTGGTTAGGCACAACTTAATTTTCTCAAAAGCTTGTTGGCAATCCTCATTCCAAACTGTTGGTTGGTTCTTGTGCAAAAGTTTGAAGATGGGTGAACATTTGTCTGTGAGTTGTGCGATGAACCTTGCTATATAGTTAATTCGACCAAGAAATCCTCTTATCTCCTTTTCAGTTTCCGGTAGGGACATTTCTAAAATTGCCTTTGTTTTATCGGGGTCTACCTCTATTCCCTTTTTGCTGATGATAAACCCAAGTAGTTTACCTGACCGTACTCCAAATGTACACTTAGCCGGGTTTAGCTTCAGTTGATACTTCCGAAGTCGATCGAATAATTTTCTCAAATAGAGAATGTGGTCCATTTCGTTCTTGGATTTGGTAATCATGTCATCCACATAAACTTCAATTTCTTTGTGGATCATGTCGTGGAATAATGTTACCATGGCTCTTTGATAGGTAGCCCCTGCTTTCTTGAGTCCAAAAGGCATGACTCTGTAACAGAACGTTCCCCACAGTGTGATGAAGGAATTTTTTTCTCTATCTTCGACGGCTAGCTTAATCTGATTATACCCCACGTATCCATCCACAAAGGAATAGAGTGTGTTCGTGGCGGTGTGATCCACCAACCTGTCGATGTGTGGTAGGGGAAAATCGTCTTTTGGACTTGCTCAATTTAGATCCCTGTAATCTACACACACTCTGATTTTCCCATTCTTTTTCATGACTGGCACGATGTTTGCCAGCCATTCAAGGTATTTGGACACGATCAAGAAATTAGCGTCTAGTTGTTTTTGTACTTCCTCTTTAATTTTCAAGGATCAGTCAGGTTTCATCCTTCTTAGTTTCTGCTTTATTGGCCGGAAACCCTCTTTCAAAGGTAGTTTATGCTCCACTATGCTTGCATCAAGTCCAGGCATGTCATGGTAAGACCAAGCGAATACGTCCACGTATTCTTCCAATAACTGTATTAACCCTACCCTGATGTCACTATCAATTTGGGTACTGATACTTACTTCCTTCTTATCGTCCTTTTGTCCCAAATTGACGGTCTCTGTCTCTTCCTGATAAGGCTGTATGGAGCGATCTTCTCTTTCCAGCAATCTTTGCATTTTCGGAGAAATGGTCTCCTGTTCACTGTCAGATTCGACCCATTCACCTTCGGCTTCCGGATCCCACAGAGATTCATCAATCACAGACATGATCATTTTAAGGGTTCTGTTTTAGGTATAGATTTTATTATTCAGTTAATTTGAAAGAATAATAAATAGAAGAGGAAAAAGAATAAATGTGAATATGGATGAAAAAGGTCTCATGTATTGAAATAAAGGAAAAGGTACAAAATGCCCTTTTAATCGATGGTCTCACGACCATGGGCTGGGACCGCAAGAAATACAAATAAAGCTTTTAAAAAGAGAAATAACCCTAACAACTGGTCCTCCCTATCCAACCCTATCACTTTGGTTACGACAGAGGTTTGACTTCTATGCTGGGGGTGGGAGCATCAAAGGTGACCCATGTGGCGTCTATTAACTCCTGAACCTTATATTTTAAGGCCCGACAGTTCTCTACTGAGTTCCCGGGAGCGCCTAAGTGGTAAGCACATTTCTCATTAGGCTTATACCACTCAAGGTAAGGTGGGTCCACCTTTCTTGGCAGGATGTATGCCAGGAGCTTGGCCTCCACCAGTTTAGGCAATAAACTCCCATAAGAGGTTGGAATGGGAGTGAACTTCCTTTCCTGCCTCTAGGATTGCCTAGCTGGCTTCGAAGAAGGAGAAGGAGTGGTGAGGCTGATGGCGTTTACGTTCTCCTACTTCTTCTTGCCCAAGGATTTCTTGAATGATGCGTAGGAGGAGGAAGGTCGTGGTATCCTTCCACTCTTCAATCCCTACTCCACCCTCTCCCCTATAATGACCACGTCTATAAAGAGGGTTGACGTGTTCCCTATCATTTTGTCGTACACTACAAGAAAATTTGTGATTACCTACAACACAAATTTGTATGTAAGCAAGAAAATCCGTAGATAAATTTAGATTACCTACGGACAAAAATCCATAGGTAAATCCCTCGTAGGTAATAATTACCTACGGATTTTCAATATCCGTAGGTAATATCCGCAGGTAATTACCTATGGATGTATTCGTATGTAATATTCGCAGGTAATTACCTACGGATGTATTTGTATCTAATTACCTATGGATATATCCGCAGGTAATTACCTACAGATATATCCGTAGGTAATATTCGTAGGTAATTACCTACGAATATATTTGTAGGTAATTACCTGCGTATATATCTGTAGGTAATTGAAGTATCTACTACTCTCCATTCTTTTTGCATTATTCTGATTGCATTGACCTGGACATTAAATGATATATAAAATTATCTAGATACACAAGTTCATAACCAGAAAAAATAAAATGATATATAAAATAACATAACAATTTATTGTTCCAATGCAAAATAAAAACGTCAAATATATCCAAATATAATGAAACATATCCAATAGAATTTCGTAAAATGCTAATAATCCATATAATCATCATCTGCATCCTTCTGTTGATCTTGATTTTGTTGTTCGGTATTTGGTTCTGCAATCTTCTCTTGATCTCTATTGTCTTGATTAATTGGTTGTTGCAAAATGTTTTGTGTTGTTGCTGCTGCTGGAGGTGGTAAGTATTGAAGGACTACGCCAATGAATGCCTGGATGGACTCAAACTGGGAGCTCATCATACGAATCTTTTCCTCACTACTTTCCAATCACTGCTCACTACTTTCCCGTCGTTGTGTCAGTTGACTAATTTTCTGTGAATCAGCTTTCTGACTGGAGCATGGTTCTGTCTGTTGTAGATAACTTTCAACACAATCATCAATAGAGTCAACATGACCAACTCCATACACGCGTCCCTTATACCTTCCTCCTGCAGCCTCTAACCAACATCTATTCCTTAGCCTTTCCTCTTCAACAGGGTCTAGGGGAGTGCATTGTGAAGCACCCACATTAGAAGTTGACTCAGACAATACTCTAGAATATCTACTCTCAAAGTCTTCCTGTTCAAACAAGACAATTTGTACATGTGTCTTTTAAATAATAAAAAACTTTAAGATTTAATGAAAGAAACTCACATGTGTCCGCCTAGACCTATCATCAACGAATTCGCCAGTACTCTTTCTTATATGCATTTTTTGAAAAACTTGATCCACATGGACTGAGCGACCGAGCTCCTCTGTCTAAATAAAAAAAACATAAAATATGTCTTTACCAAATAATTGTTACATCATAAATGAATGATAAAAAATATTTAAAAATTCATACCAAACGAATGGCATGTTCGTGCACACTAATTGATCCGCCAGTGTGCAAACTTCCCCCTTTATCGGATGCCTGATTTTTCTTTGCTGTATCACATTTTGATCGATATAGAGGCATGTTCCACTGTTCCAAGAGGTTGTTCCATATATTATTTCCAATCCAATAAGGCTTCTTGCCTTCTCTTCTAGCCTCTTTAAACATCTCTGAAAGTCTATGTGAGGCATTGGAGTGGAAATTTTTCTTAATTCTTTCCTCATCCTCAGATCTCCATGTCACCTTCCTTTGTAAAACATAGTGACCATTTTCAACCTAGTTATTTTGATTCAGATTTTTGAAATAGAAAACAAAAGGAAAATGAGAATGTATAACATTTTTTCATATCAAACAGGCCCTTTGAACTTATCCTAAAATCTGGGCGAAGATGCATTTGTCATGGAAAAAGCTTTTTTCATATCAAACATTAATCAGTAAAGTGTCATTTACAACATCATCAAATGTTGCTAAAATCAGCAACAAAATCGGCTGCAACAGTGACAATCCAACATATAATGAATGATCACAAAAATATTGAAAAGGTACAAATATAGTAGAATATAACAGCCTTACAATCCACCATATAACACCAAAAATATCACCTTACAATGATGCAGCATATAACACCAGCAAACAAAGAAACTTCATATTCATTTTATCAGCCTAGTGGTCTATTTGCAGAATAAATTACCTTAAATCTCTGGAAAAAAAAAATATCGATCAGCCTTAGGGATTGCCCCCCATGTTAGCCATGGTTCACCAAATTGTTGTTTAATGGTGGATGTGATTTCCTTTGATGCAATTTTTTATGGATAAAACCTAAACACAAAAATACAATCATAACATGAAATGGTAGTAAAACCTAAACACAAAAATAAAAGTCATAATTTTTTATGGATACTTACCCTCATCCAACAGGTCGAATCATAGGACGATCACCAACTGAGGGAACCTCCTCCTCTGAGTGCAGTACATTCTCTTCATCTTGCACATGATTATGATTAATTGCTGAAGTTGAATGTGTCCCTAGAATATGTGTAGATGGTGATGCTGCAACAGGTTCAGTAGGGGTTGATGCATTAGAAGCAATTATGGGCGAAGGGGTGGATTGATAGGCTGGTGGTGTGGATCCAACAATAGGGGGTGGTGATTGTGTGGATCCACCAACATTTGCTACTAGTGGAGTGGATCCAACAGTTGAAGATGGACCAGGTGAAGCACTTGTTGGATTTGATGAAGACATATTGAGTTGACATAGTTTAGTTTGTGGGTGTGTAGAGCTTATGAAAAAATTTGCATTCAAGTAATGCCCCATCATGCTTGTCCGTAGACCCCAAATCTTGCCCGACCTCCAAATAAAGACCAGAAGACCTCCTATTTGAAGATGGACAAGCCTAACAAGCCATTAGGAGAGACTATTAGGCCCCATACTAGGATAGGAGGGAGTTTCGTACCAAAAAATAAGTTTTCTCGCTTGAAGGGACGAGACCGCCTTCTGGACAACCCGGACCGCCGTCTGCTCACGTAGGAGGTGAGACCGCCGTCTCGCGTAACGAGACGGCGGCCTCGCCACCTACGAAAGGACGAGACGCGAGGTCTCGTTCACCCGCACGGTGGTCTCGCCATTTCGACAGGTCGAGACGGCGGTCTCGTTGGATGAGACTGCGATCTTCGACCCCTGTCGAGACGAGACCGACGGTCTCGCCACCCGACAGCGCGAAAACCTATAAATAGGGGCTCTCCCCCCTCATTTCCACACACCACAGCTGCATAGCTCTCCCTTCTCTCTAAAAACTTCTCTCAGAATCCCTCCGACGCATTTCGGAGCTTCCGAGTGCTTTCAAGAGTGATTTTCAGGCTCGAGAGGTTTTCCGACGTCTTGTAGAGTGAAGGGCCGTCATAAAGCACCCTATTTTTTTAGAGAATTAATATAAAAAGCGTGCTTCGGAGGTTCAAATTCTCTCCCTTCACCTTTACCGTTTTTATCTTGAATTATGCAATAGATATTAGGGCCATGTAGTCATACTTTTAAATTCTGCAGAATAAAAAGGGCGAAAGTGTATTTTCTCTAGCTTTATCAATAAAATAAGCTCGGCTCCACGTATAGGGAACCCGAATGGGGCGTCGTAAAGGGACTAATACTCCCTTTACACGTAACCAACTCCCTTACCCAACTCGGTTCTAATGACCGAAGTTGGTTTTCAAAACCAACGCCTTTTAAAACTCCCTTTCCGATGTTTCCAGAAAAACATCTGTGGCGACTCCATAGAACCCAAAATAAATAAGTCCTTGGGTTAGCCCTAAGTATCTGGACAACCCAAAGACACTTTTCGAAAACCTCGCCCTTAGTGTAAGCCCTAAGCATTCTGGACAACCTAAAGGCGTCAGTAACTACCCATAAAAATGCGAAAATCAAAGAGGGTCAAAATAACCATCGTAGCCGCTCCGACCGCGCCCCCGTTTTCAGGGAGGCAGCCGACGCATGGCGACTCCAGCTGGGGAAGCCTAGAGAGTTAATCCCATTTAGTGATGGGCCGACTTAAACAATAAATAAACCAAGAAAATAACACTTTTGCCCTTAACTTGTATTTATAACATGTTTATTGTTTGGCTTTAATAAATCTTTGATTGTTTATACTTGCAAATTGCTTGAAATATAAACCGCACACAATCCCTTGCACACAACAGCTCTCCCTATGAAAGAATTAATGGTTGAGTTCAAGAGGGGGGTGAATTGAACTTAAAAAACTTTTTCGCAAAACTTTACTTTCTTTTGGAAGAATGAGTTATCTTTATTCAATTCTTGAAAAGATGATTTGATTTAAAACACAAAGCAAGCTTATATTCAGAATT